AATATAGTATACCTTAAAACTAATAAAATATTTTACCACGAGTGTGTGTATATATATATATATATATATATATATATATATATATATATATATATATATAAAAAAAAAAAATTTTACCCAACATGTTTCATCTTCTGATGGACTTTATCAAGGCAACAATTATTTATAAACAGAAGTTAAAAAAAAAAAAGTTTAGTTTTTCAGAATTTATAAATTTAAGAATGCTTATAAATATACATCAGGCTAACCAAGTAAATTATGGAAGATGCTAAGTGATGTAATTTAATATCTAATAAACAAAAATGAGGAAATGTCAGGATTGTTGTTGAATTTTTTTATTATGTAATTAATATTTATATTTAGTTTGAGAAATTAATTTATGTATCGTCATGTATCTTGTCTTGAGAAAGGAGTATTTCTTTTAGGAAAAGAGATATTTAGAAAAATGTGGGGTGCAGATTTATTTGTTAACATTTGATATCAGCATTCTCGAGAATTTTCCATCTAAGTAATTTTCTCTTTTAATAAGTGCAGCATTATTGAGATCAAAGTTGTGGTTGAACTTATTTCTAGGTATGACTAACACATTTTATAAATTATAAATAAGATCCTTTTGTGTTCACACATGCACACACATTAAATATATATATTTAATGGTATGAACTCGTTTATGAAACATATACCTTGATAAAGTAAATCAGTGGGTGAAAATAAAATTGGAAAATTTGAACTTATTAAAAGTCAAATTTCAATATATGTGTACACTAAGACGGAAGAGTCATATTCCTTCAGGCATATAGGATCTGAGTGAAAGAAATGATGTGGTAACACTGGATAATATGGCCAATTCAAGAGGTAATTTTAGATGCAATAATCTTTCCTGGAATCAATGTAGAAAGATCTTTTGTATTGTAACGAGACAACAGAGCTTTAAATAATGATGAAAACACTTACACTTCAATTTAGCAAGGAACAATACATGCAATCTTCATCTCTCATATAAATCTTTTAGCCTTTTAGTTCATTTCTCTTTCCTTTTATTGAAGATGTTAATGTCTCGTTGGTTGGTCAGTCAGTAGTGTTGCTATGGTAACAAAGTGCTTAGCTCTGTAAGGACTTTAAGTTTCAATTAAATTTACAATGTCACCCCTTTTGCATTGTCTTTTCTGGCCTTATTCTGATGCTTGTTATTATGACTGAGTTAATTCCTCCCTTTAAATACCTTAAGACAATGACAGCATCTGCTTCTATAAAAGCAGATGAGAGAATAATTACTATTCATTGGCTTTTATTCAAATCACTGACAGGGCAATGCAATGTTGATTTGGTGAGGAAATTGGCTTTTGTGAGCTTCACTTCAACTTTTAACTCTCGAGTGAAATGGCTGTATATGTATATCTATAAAAGGTTTTATAATTGTTCTCTTTATCTATTCTTATGATGATTCAAATCACTTTTTTGTCTTAAACTAAAAATCTTTATCTATTTGCTGAACGACTAGTTTGGTATCTGTTGCTTTGTTGATAGAAAGTCGATCAAACTTCAAATCTAAATTATTTGTCCATTTAAAATAATACATTTATTAGAAATATATATATATATATATATATATATATATATATATATATATATATATATATATATATATATATTCAGTTTAAATGCAGATGTCATAAAAATAACACAAAAAGGTCACACATTTTTGCTTTATACTCTTTCTTTGTTACCCAGAGGTTGTTGGCAGACAAATGGAAATTAGGCCTTGTTATACAGATGTCCATTTCAATTTCATTCAAACTGTGTATGCACATTTGCATGTAAGCATATATATTTTAATTCAATGACACACCTAAAAATATTTCTACAAAATTTAAAAAATAAAATCTGCAGAGTTCAATAAAATATTAGAGTTTTTTTTTTTTTTCCTTCTCTCCAAATTTGATTTTATTGTCCAGCCCAGTGCAGGGGTTGTTCAGACTGAATGGGAATAGAAAGTATTACTCCAAATTGAATGAAATTGTGTGTGTGTGTGTATACATTAAATGGCACAAGCACATGTAAATCACTGATGCAAATCAAGCGTATGTATTGTATACATAGATGAAAAATCTCTCTCATATACACATATACAGTGTGATGGCCAGAGAATAAGCTTTTCTTTTATTAATATAGATATTACATTTTGCATGCAAAACTAATTTTGTTCAAGGGAAGCTGAATTTTAATTCATAAAGATCACAAAAGGCTGAAAAGAAGAGTTTTTTTTATTTAATTCTTTGATTTGTAGCCATATCCAAACAAATTATGTAACACATCAAAGATAAATTTTGTTTAATTTAAGTAATACCAAAGAAGCTCAAATGACAATACACACAAAAATGAATTGCTAAACGCATTTATTAAATTGTATAACATTCTATAGTCATGCAAACTGATTGCATATACTTCAAAAAATTATTTGATACCTTTTTAAACTTTAACATTCTGGAGGTGGTTTTGTTTGCAAAGCAAAAATTTTATCCTGCTACTGCAAGTGACTCAGATGAATGAATTTTGCAATTGTGTTGTCATATCCTGCTATGGCAACAGAAAATGACCATGACTGAAATTAAGTAATACAGTAGCGGAGACTTGAAAAACAATGAAAGGAAAGTAGTGATTAATGCATTGAATAATGCGATGTGTTAAAGTTTAGTTGTCATGTGGATAGAAAATACATATTTATTTATGCATTTAAATATTGATGAATAGTATCTGCTAATATTTAGTACTTGAGAAATTGTTATGATCATCCAATAAATTCCTTCCACTTAAGTCTTAAATTTGCAAATGTGTATTCAATATATATATATATATATATATATATATATATAGTGCATGAACATAGACACTACATGGTGACTGTTTCATGCCTTAAATGATCATCAAACCAAGGTCAGAATAGTATGTAAATTGACAGTTACTATGCAGTGTTGATTTAAATCTCTACACATTAAACCTTAAAAAAGAAACACTCTCTTATTGAGCAGTCTAACACAATAAATATTCAAATTTTAAATACATACACACACACACACACACACACATATATATATATATATATATATATATATATATAAATAAACAATACCTTTCTTAGACATCATATATTACAGAGTTGACAACAGCCTACAACTTAGTGACCACCGAAAATCAACCAATAAAAATGACTTCAACTTCTGCTCTCATCATAACAACAAAATAAAATCCAGAATGATTTTTGAATTCTATTTAAGAACACTCAGAATTTGCAACCCTCAATATTTACATGAAGAGGAGAAATATATTAAAAATACATTCAAGACCCTTCAATATCCTATTTCATTTTCAATGCAAAACAAAAGGCTCATAAAATATTTGAAAATAGTTGTTCTTCTTGACAAACCCAATGAATCAAAGAAATAGATTATTCAACCCACTATCACAACTACAACCAAAAAGAATTTATCTAAACTCAACATAATTTGTCACAATTACATCTAAAACAATCAAAGATTTACTCAATAAAAAAAAACAAACAAACAACCAAAACTTGAAGGAGGAATTGCCAGAATGAATGTAGTGAAGAAACCTCAAGAAGTTTAAACAAGAGACTTATGTGAACACAAAAGGGATATTTTAAATAACAACACACAAAATGCATTGGTTGTTCACCATAACAAACAGACCAGTTTTGACATAGGGAATGCTATTTTGATTAAAAGAGAAAATAATTCACTGAGACAAAAATGTCTGGAAAGTGCCTTGATCGCTAGTTCAGCCACAATAAATTTGTATCCAGGCTCTTACAGTATATTATCATTCTTGGTAGAATTTATATTGTCACAGTATGAGATAGTGACAAAGGTGATGGAGAGAAAAAGAAAAGAAAAAAATACAGATGATTTCAGTTAGATTGAGAAAAAAATATTCTTTCAAAAATTTTTAAACTGTCTGCGTCTCTCATTTCGTGCACATGTTTTTGTTCTGTTTTTCTTTTTCGTTTTTGTTTAGTATCCAGTAATAAACATGAAAATGCAGAGCAATATAAAACTTTTATGTCCTAGATATACAAAAATTTTGATATTTTAATATTTATTTAATTTTATATAGCTAAGTCATAACCTCCTGTATTTAATTTTTTCAACATAATCTTTTCTTTCTTTTCAATTACTCAACACATCTCTAATCCCAAATATAACATTATACATTGAAAATTTCAGATCTAAATTGAGATGAGTCTTAGACTATGGACTTGTTGATCTACCCTCATATACCAGTCATAATTATTTTGTATAAAGAAAGATCACAAAGCAAGGAATGCAAGGAATAGTATGTTGGGTATTCAGGTTTACAGTCTCTATGTTGCAAATATTATTCTTTGTAACCACACCTTTATATGGTTCTGTCATTTAACATGCTTCCTCAATTTTAGTTGCCATTTATAAAGATCTGTCTGTTCTTATATTATTTAACACCTTATATATTTATTCAGTGCCTTTTTGATAAAATCTGAAACAAACCCAAATCTTTATTCACTTGTTCCCATATCATCTTTTTGGCAAAACAGGAAAAAGAACAAATCTTTTGAATTTGTGTAGATGGATTTCTGGCCATATTCCTACTTTATCACTTGAGTGTATCATTTTGTTCTTGACGTCTATTAATAGAATTTTAAAAATGTAAATGTTTTTTGGGGTGTGGGGGATAATCTTTTTTCTCCTCCCCCCCCCCCCCAGTTGAAATATTCATTTACCATTATGTACACACATCTATTGTTTGATGATTAGATTTGCTTAATTTTAACATATTAGTGTGCCGTTAGTTTGGGTTGAAAAAGAAAATCTCTCATTCACTGGTTTCGAGAAATTTTCAGGCTGTAAGCAGGAAGGGAGAGATGCAAGTTGTCAGTTGCTGTGAGCAACAGGAGATCAATAAGTACTTGGCTGACTCATTAGACGCAAGGGCAGGGAAAAATACACATGTGTGCTGAAACAGTGAAACATCTCTCTCTCTCTCGCTCTCTCATATTCTCTCTCTCGCTCTCTCATATTCTCTCTCTCACTCTCTCATATTCTCTCTCTCTCTCATATTCTCTCTCTCTCTCTCATAAACATCTCTCAATGTAGTGAAGATTTATTAAAAAAATGACACAAATGAATATTTATCACACACACACACACACACACACACACACACACTTTGTAAATTTCAAAGAGTCCTAGTTGAAGTGATTCCATAGAAAGAAATACTGAAGATTAGTTTTTATAAGGATTACAGGTTTATGGAACATACACATTGATCTTATTATTTGGCTCTATATGAAATAACAGCTACAATCCCAGATTTTGTAGAGGCTCATTTATGGCAAAATACTATTCAATCAGGCCATGCATGGTGCCAGTGAGGGTTTAATACAACTAAACTATCTTGGTTTCATCTAACTTTGTTCTTCAAATGAAATCTGCAGTAGATAATTTTTTCCCTCTCAAAATGATTTCATAAATAGTTTTGTAATTAGCTTTATTCTATTCTATTTATTTTATTCTAAGACATGTACTGGCTGTTATACTCAATGCCTATATCCACAAAATGCTATTTCTTCATATAACAAAGCAAGTGTACAGAGAATGCTGTGCACTCACTCACATGTACATGTGTAATATATAGAATTAATACAGATAAAATTTGTCACTTAGCTGATTGATGTTATATTCAGTACCTCAACTCCAGAGTTTCATATACAAACCTTTTTTTAATCATTCAGCCCATCCACCAGTCAGTCAGTTATGTATCATGCGTGATACACGCTTAGACGATCATGTATCTTTCAATACATGACTGATGAGGCAGATTTTTCCCACAGTAGGTTACCATTTCTTTCTGCGGTAGATCATTTGCCATCCAAGGCTATAGAACTTGGTCTGTCCTGCTGTTTACCTATTGCTGGAGGGAGGAGTAGAGGATTCATACCTTTCCCAAGATTATTAGCATGTAAGTGAATGTAATAGATTCAACTGGAATTTGAACTCGGCTCTCTGATTCCTCAATCCGAGCCACTATCCATTACTCCACTGAGTTTCAGCAATTATATATATTACTCCATAAATCTATACATGGTTATAGTCTTTGAAGAAAAAAAATGTAGCATTTGATGTGTACTTGGACATACATGTGCAGGTATACCCAATTAATTAGACCTGTATTTTTTTTTTTTATTTCATTCCAAACAAAGGTGATAAAGCCACAAAGACACAAGGAAAGATAGAAGATTGCAATTTATTTTGCATTTAAATTTTTGAAGATCGTAATTTATAGGGGAGCAAGAAGAAGAGTTTCACAAATGAAAAGTGTGAGCAAAGACTCTATAAAAATAAAACTTACAGTTACATCTATTTCAACAGTACAATAATGTGACCTTGCTGCCAATCTAGTACTAATTGGCCTTATTTCATGCTTGATCAGGTGTATTTGTTAATTAGAAAATGAGTTAATCAAGAAATGGATTTGAATTTTAAGTGCACATTTTTGTCTTTTGTTCTTTTCTTGTTGAAAAAAATTACCATCGTTTGGATTAATGGGTTGCATTTTATTTAATACCTTGATGTTTTTAATACTAGAAAGTCAAACTTTTGATATAGTTTCATTTCACTAAGGCTTTGTGACTATAAAACCATTTTGGTGGATTGTGTTAGCGCTCTCCTTTATGCTCTAAAATATATAGTTGTAAATGAAAACTTGTTTTATTACATTACTAGTTTAAATTAAAAATAATGACATAGGAAACTTTTTCTTAAATCCTTATCAGGTTTTCATATGTGAGCAAATAAAGGATTTTTCCAATTTTCTTTCACAAAATCATTCTTTTCAACTAGTATCTTTGTAAACATGTGAAAAGAGTATAACCTATCCCTTTGACCTAACCTCTGCTGAAGCTGGTTATCAAAAGCAACACTCTTGTCCAGGTGTTGAATATCATACCAGGGTGTATGCCATACTTTGAAGATGGTTTGCATAAATTCGTCAATTAGTCCCTCACCAGAGTTCATGTTGTCTATTGAATGGTGTTGGCTGTTTGCTTGTCTGAAATGACAAGTTGTGGCTTTGTTGGTCAGATGGTGATTCAGTTGTACTGCTTCTTCAATGCCAGGCAATCCTGCTGAAAAAGGTGTAACATACAAAAAAAAGAAATAACACTGTTGAAAAATTATCAACAATTTAATTATGGATGAAATGTAAAAATATTGTACAAAAGGTAATTCATCCAATTCTTTCTTTTCTAAACTTAAGGCACTGAGAGACATCTGATTTTGAGAGATTTGTGAGTGCTAATGTCTTTGCAGTAATTGACTTCTATGGTGGATGATTGGCTTGGGTGGGACTCCCTGAGAGTGTATTTTCCTTATAGAGGCTTCTATACCCAAAATGGACATGATTGATTAACTTCTCAAATAAAGAACCCCTGTTAGAAAAAACAGATGGCCAACCATAAAGTGCTTTTCGATTTGTATTACTAAGTTCTAAAATTTTTATTGGAATCAACATGAATCTGTTGAATGGGTTGCTAAACAAACAAAGCCTAAAGTTTGCTAAACAAACAAAGCCTAAACATTCCTTGAGGTTATGGAGTTGGTCCAGGAGTATCAGTTATACAGAATTTTACTTGGTTTAATTTGAGTTCAAACTATTCCAAGGCCCTCCTTATAAATATTTTTAGGGGGTTTAAATTAATATTTTAAAATCAAACTTTTTTTCATTAGACTACAATCTGATTAACCACTCTCCCATATTTTTCTCCTTCAGATATCTCTAATACTCTGCTCAGGATTCTTAAGTATCTCAATCCCCTAAGTCACTAACCATTTTCATGCACTGGTATAACTCAATCATAGCCACTTGTCATGTTACAGGAGTACACAACAAAGATACTGCCACCTGTGTTTGCCAGTGCAATAACCATATAAAAAGACAGACTAAAAATATACAGGTACACTTGTTTAAGAGATCAGTGGTTGCTGATACGGCATGTCTCCACTCTCCATACCATCGATATTATCCAAGAGTAAGGTAGACTTCAGTACATTTTAGTGTTGACATAGGAGTTGCCAGAACAAAGTTGAACATAACATTGAATAGTACTAGGGCTGCAGGGTCCGGATTTGTCCTCAGGGTTTACTTCTGAAGCATTTTCTATGGTTGGGTATGGCCACAAGGCAGCAGAGATTTAAATTCCAAGTTTTCTATTATATATATATATATATATATATATATATATTCATGAATTATTCACACAAAAACAAATGCAAAGGTTAATGCGTGCTCCAAAAACAATAACTCATTTCCAATAGCATTTTCGGATACAACAGTACATATATTTTCATTGTCCTCTTATTACTAAGAGAAAAAACAAGAACAACATCTATTCCATACCTGAAGATGTCTGTAGGAACAGACGAAAGCTTGTAGTAAAAATAAGAACTAATACGGCAGAAATTTATAGAAACAAGGATCTTTTCATTCATAACAGATTCGGAGGTTTTTGTATATTATTTGAATTGTTTGCGACGATGGATTTCTCGCCAATTAAATCATTAACCTTTGCATTTGTTTTTGTGTGAATAATTCATGAATTTGTAAATTGATTGCACGTTTATCGTAATATATATAGTATGTGTGTACATATATTTGTGTATTTAGGCAGCAAATTCTCTTTTAAACATGTCTGATTAAATTATTTACAAACATTATTTCTGCTTATTTTTAGTATAATCCTTTCATATTCACAAATATTTTTCCATGTATTACAATCAGATGAAGCAAGAAATGCACTGTAACAGTGAAAATCACTTTTATTTCCCCAAGTACTTTCCATCTCTTTCTGAGATCATCATCATCATCAGGGGTGCCACTGGTAAGGCAAAAACTGTGTAGCTATCCATTACTGATTTTTTTTTTTTTTTGTGTTTAAATGCAGTGGCTGACAGTTATGCTTTAGCATTCATTAGAACATGAAAAAAATTATCCATTATGGAATTTTTTCTTTTATGTTGGAATGTCATGGTCAAGTGTGCATTAAAGCATGAATATTGTAATATTCAAAAATGCCTATAAAAAGAACAGTGAATATAACAATCCCAACTGGAATTGGAAGTCAGCTCTCCAATTAACAATTCTGAGCCATTATCCATTACACCACCCACGCATCCAAGCTTACAGCATTTGGTATTCCCAAACATTTACCCATCTACCCTGCCTCAACATAATTATACTGAAGGAAACCTGTTTGGTATCATGACTTACATAATTATGCCTATCAATGAAAAATTTTTTTATATACATAAATATAACAATGAACCTTAAAAGCTTCTCCCACATGAATCATATGTATATCCAGTGTCAGTAATTATTTATCAGATTTGTAACTAATTTTTGAAATTAGGGTTTGGCCTTGTAGAGAAGGGAGTGTGCAAGCATTTTTTTTTTTTTTTTTTAATGTTGACTCTTTTGTTCTTTAAAGAGCTTTGAAATATTTTTTCTTTGTTTGAAAGCTAGTTAGATAATAAATTTAGTTATATCAATGTTCTTTTTTAATGATTCCCTTGATAAGTTAAAACCAACTAAAAAGACACTTGCACTTTGACTCAAATGTTGACACTGCACACCCCCTACAACATAAATAAGGGAATCATCTCACATTTGGTCACAAAAAGATCAGCCAATTACTCATAAAAGATATTTCTATTTCTCAAATATTGGAAATATTGCAGATGTAAAATTGTTTAGTGTTGAAAATCCAGTTGAGGGAGTATGATGCTATCAAGCAATGATATTTTTCTTTGCTTTAATATTGTACATTTTACAAAAACATCAGACTTGAGGTTTTGGTTGGAGTTCTTCTTTTTTTTTTTAATTGGGCCTTAGACACATTATCCAATTTCTATATGTAACTTTGCAACATTTTGTCTGTTGTCCAATATGGATTAGAAAATTACTTGTCATTATATTTGTAATACAAGAAATTAAGATGGCTATATTATTGTTTTTGTTGGATTAATTGTTTATTAAAAAAATACTATTCTTCATTAAAAAAATATTTGCTTTTGCTTACATTAAAAAAAAAAGTTTTCTCCCTCCATCTCTCCTTCTTCTTTCTCCCTCCATCTCTCCTTCTTCTTTCTCCCTCCATCTCTCCTTCTTCTTTCTCCCTCCATCTCTCCTTCTTCTTTCTCCCTCCATCTCTCCTTCTTCTTTCTCCCTCCATCTCTCCTTCTTCTTTCTCCCTCCATCTCTCCTTCTTCTTTCTCCCTCCATCTCTCCTTCTTCTTTCTCCCTCCATCTCTCCTTCTTCTTTCTCCTCCATCTCTCCTTCTTCTTTCTCCCTCCATCTCTCCTTCTTCTTTCTCCCTCCATCTCTCCTCCTTCTTTCTCCCTCCATCTCTCCTCCTTCTTTCTCCCTCCATCTCTCCTCCTTCTTTTCTCCCTCCATCTCTCCTCCTTCTTTCTCCCTCCATCTCTCTTTCCTTCTTTCTCCCCTCCATCTCTCTTTCTTCTTTCTCCTCCATCTCTCTTTCTTCTTTCTCCCTCCATCTCTCTTTCTTCTTTCTCCCTCCATCTCTCTTTCTTCTTTCTCCCTCCATCTCTCTTTCTTCTTTCTCCCTCCATCTCTCTTTCTTCTTTCTCCCTCCATCTCTCTTTCTTCTTTCTCCCTCCATCTCTCTTTCTTCTTTCTCCTCCATCTCTCTTTCTTCTTTCTCCCTCCATCTCTTTTTCTTCTTTCTCCCTCCATCTCTCTTTCTTCTTTCTCCTCCATCTCTCTTTCTTCTTTCTCCCTCCATCTCTTTTCTTCTTTCTCCCTCCATCTCTTTTCTTCTTTCTCCCTCCATCTCTCTTTCTTCTTTCTCCTCCATCTCTCTTTCTTCTTTCTCCTCCATCTCTCTTTCTTCTTTCTCCTCCATCTCTCTCTCTTCTTTCTCCCTCCATCTCTCTTTCTTCTTTCTCCCTCCATCTCTCTTTCTTCTTTCTCCCTCCATCTCTCTTTCTTCTTTCTCCCTCCATCTCTCTTTCTTCTTTCTCCCTCCATCTCTCTTTTCTTCTTTCCCTCCATCTCTCTTTCTTCTTTCCCTCCATCTCTTTTCTTCTTTCTCCCTCCATCTCTCTTTCTTCTTTCTCCCTCCATCTCTCTTTCTTCTTTCTCCCTCCATCTCTCTTTCTTCTTTCTCCCTCCATCTCTCTATCAATTTCTAGCTTAATTATTATCAAGATGGATATTTACCTGTACCTCTCTTCCTTCAATGATTTTGCTGTACATCTATGTATCCTCTCTTCTATCTATTTTTTTCTCTTTTGTCTCTCTTTATTATGACCCTTAAGATCTTTTTCCATCATCCTGCATAGGGATGATCACACTTGTGGGCCAAACTGGTATTCTACAAATCTTCTCTAGTCAGCTCCAAGGTAGACTCTCAAAAACCTAATAACTCACCATTATTCAGTATGGCCTCAAGTACATCACTCTTTAATACCCAGATTTCTACCTGGAAATAAATGAGATTTCTTTATTTCAGGTTTAGTCCACAATAAATAGCCAAACAGAACCAATGTGTGAAAAAAAAAAAACTTTTCTGTTCAAACAAATATTGTGAGCACCTACAACTTAATATTTCCTGTGTTTGGGATTATAATTAATCCTTTGTAATATATTTAGAAAAAAATAGACTCACAGTTCTTGTAGGAACTTACTGAAGATGTTCATAGGATGTATATTTGTAAGGGATTGAAGTTAGAAATATCTTGTTTCAGAATTTTTGTTGCTTGAACTTTGCATTCTCTTTAAAAAAAAAACATGGGTCCTTTGCTGATATAACAAACTTGGGAGTTATTTACTTATTGTGTTCTTCCTGTTATATATCTCAAGATTCTTGAGAAAATTCAAAGAAGGGTCTTTAATGTAATTGATCTTGACCTGGCATATTCAGTCACTTTCCCAGCAATGTGATATGGCTTTCCTCTGCCTTTTCTACAAATTTTCATGGTAATTATTCTGATGAGCTTTCCTCCTTGGTGCCTTGACTGCATGAATTTAAGTGTGATACTAGATTGGCAACTAGGTCTCACCATTTTACTGTTGAACTAGCTAGATGCCACTATATATTTTATTCTAATAGTTTCTTTTCTCACCTGTGGAACTCCCTTCTGATTTCTTGCTTCCCTGTCACATACCATCTTCAAATATTTAAATGCAGTATTAATTGGCATCTGCATTCCTGAATCCTGTTCTTTTATTATCCTTTCTCCTCCCTAAAGTCTTCTCACTCTCTTTCACTCCCAATAACCCCTTGCATCGTAGTGGCATTATCACTTCACTTGAGGTGAAATTATTGAAAAAAAATAAGGCAAATCATAATTACTTGTATTCAGATTGCAAAAAAAAAAAAAATAGAAAAGACATCTTGGATAATCTTTTACTGATTTTTAAAATGATATCTTAAAATTAAATCCTAGTTTTAGCACAACTTCTATATATAAAGTTGTAATGTTGTTGTATGAAGAGTATTTGTATCATTGATGCTTTTCATTTACAAACTATATATTAAAGGGAAACTGGTCTTTGATTTTATGAATACTATTAATTTGGTTAATCTGAATATAACCACTTTTGTTGAAAAACAATATTTCTTCCATCTTGTGTGTCATCACTCTTTTTTGTAATTTACTTATAATCTAATTCTGCTTGTTCCTCCATTAGTTATTTAGTAAGTTAGCATATGTATTAACTCCTGCCATTACTTCAGATAATTAATGGCCCATTCAACTTTCATCGTGAAGAGAGAGAGAGAAAAAAGGCATATCAGAGATACTGTTTGGTTTTAGTGAGAAAAAGAACATATACATAATAAAAAGACAGAAATGGAAAGTAGAGGAGGTGATAACACTGTCATAGGGATTTGATCAGATCTTGGGTGATGGGTCAACCCGGGAACTTTACACCACATTGTGTATATACAAAAACCTGTTTCTGTGATACTTTTTTTTCTATGTAATGTAGTTATCTCCTTTGCCATTGCGGTGCCAGATGACAGTATCTTCCTTATAATAATGGCAGACTATTCCAAGATGTTCACAAAGTTGGTAGATAAAAATTACTGTCTCTATGAAAGAGTAGAATACAACTATAATAATTAGTAAAAATATATTTAAACATGCATATAAAGTCCTCATAATAGCAAAGACTTAACAAAATGTCTATTTCATATATGCTTGCCATTTTGGATGGCATAAATTTGTATAAAATAAAGTCTTTCCTAAATAATCACAGATGTACACCATCATCTGTGATTTCCACTTAGTAGAGAGACTGAAAGAAAACATTTTTGTATTTTATTTCTTAACAAGTAGTAATGTCCTAACAAGGTTTGTTATTGGCGGCCACAATCTTAACAATATAAGATATGCAAATGATACAGTGTTGATAGCAGATGCGGGAAGGAAACTATAAGAACCTACAGAAGGTAATGAAGGAATGCAAGAAGATAGAATGCATGGTTTTTAGCAAAAGGAACAACCCAACTTGCAAATTATAAGTTGGATTTATCAAAGGTACAACAATTTTAAATATCTTGGAAGGTTTTTAACAGAGGACGGAAAGTGCAACACTGAAATTTGAAGGCACATTGGAATAGAGAAAGATGTCTTCTAAAAGCTAAGGGATTAAAAAAAAAAAATTTTGTTAGAAATAAAGAAATGAGTACTGTCCTCTTATATGGCAATCTCCTCAGATGAAGAAGAGACTTGAAGCAACAGAAATAATGTTCTACAGAAGGATGCTCAGAATTGCATCAATCAAACATGTGAGCAACGATGAAGTTTGAGAAAATGAAAACAAAAAGGGCACTTATACTTAATAAAGTACATAATGAGGAAGGAGAGCTTGGTAAATTTGATACTCACAACAGATTGAAGGCAAGAGGAATAGAGGAAAATCATTCATAACTTACCTAGTAATCTTGAGTGAATGGATAGCACAATAAGGCTTAGAGATAAGACAAAATTTAGTTATAACTACAAAGAATAGGAAATTGTGGGGAGCCAAGATCACCAACGTTCTAAAGAGACATGCACATAGAAGAAAAATGTGTGGTGACCAGTTGTCAACCTCTTTTTGGGTGTTTTTTTTTTTTTTTTTTTAAAACCAATGATATTGGATGAATTGAACTTGCAATAAAAAGCCTATTTTTCTGAATTCTCAGCACAGTGAATCTTAGTAACAAGTTTGTAAAATTGAATTTGTGCCTTACAATTATGAAAAAGTACACTTCAAAATTCCAGGGGTAATCGCCTGACAGAAACTGTAAGAAATTGTAAGTGGACAGTTAAAATATGCAAGCAGCACCTTGCATGCACCGTATATATCAAATTTATAGGAATTAATCTAAGAGTTCTTTGTTTTGCTTCTGTTATGTTTCACTTAATCTATTTTAGAACATTTTTCACTGTAAGGAAAGGTTTCTTTACAGAAAAAAAGTTTGGGAACAGTAAATATGTAAAGTGATATATGAACTGTATTTTACATGTCTTTAAGATTATTTTCTCTTTTTACTATTAATGAAATGTATTCTATTTTTTTCTTTTATTTTTGTTTTCCAGACCGTTTTGATCATCATTGTCCTTGGGTTGGAAACTGTGTTGGAAGAAGGAATTACCGCTACTTTTACCTGTTCATATTGTCATTATCACTTCTATGTATTTACATATTTGCATGTGTATTGACACATCTTATATTACGTGAGTATTCCTTTAACTATTTACAATCTTTCTCACAAATGGTGAAGTCTCTCCTCAGCGGAAATATTACACTTTTTCTTTTCACTTATTTTCTTGTTATTTTCTCCCCCCCCTAATCCTGACTCAAAACGAATTTACTGAATTAATTTTATTGACTGAATTAATAAAATGAATGGTTCAAATTTGTTAATATTTGAGATGAGGTATTATGTATGCTATTTACATTATTCGGACTATTGTCCTCATCTTTGTCGCCATGTTTATCACAACATTTCGGCTGTTGTATGCTCTGGCTTTAAATGTAAAATGTAAATATCGAACAGAACCCTTTATTTTGCTCACTGAGGTAGACTGTTCTAGTTCCATGTGTCATGTCTAATGGATGTCAGTTATCTCCTGTTTATTCCTCTCTGAAAGTTCTCCACTGCCTTAACCAGGTATTGAACTCACACTCTTTGGGTCTTGTCACTAACAAATGCCTTCATCCACTGTGCCATGTGTTCTTGAGGACATCTGTGTATGAATTTCTGGGTATTATAAACCTAATGTCTTCAGCAACCTTTTTTTACCAGTGCTCGTATTGCAATTTTTGCTGTTATCATTGCATTTTTTTTTTTTGTTTTACCAGAGCTCATATTGCAATTTTTGTTGTTGTTATTGCTTTTCTCTGGCACTCCTTATTATTATTATTATTATTGTATTCATTTCTATGCTTGGTCAGCTCAGGAGATTTTTGTGGCCTAGCATATGTGCTGATTCCTTAAGTTTACAAATTTTAAGGAATCGGCACATATGAAAACTTTTGGGAACAAGTGACAACAAACCAGACATCTTCAATGCCTGGTTGCAGGCTTATATTAAGTCACAGTTTGGATTGTGTCGTGCTAGGTTGATTTTGCTGGGTGCACACTCTCTGTTAAGAGAATTGCTAGCCACATGTTGTGATGTAGAGATGAGCAGAGAGTTTGTAGGAAAAGAATTCTCACTGGTTGAGGGGAAAAGTTGATCTGTGAATGAGATGTCACAAATGGCAGAAATTATCTTCAGGTGTCACTTAGGTATCCATCCAGACTTTACAAGAGAATCTCTGAAATAAACAATGAAATATATGTTCAAGTTTTTATTTCTTGCTGGAGTTTTATGTTTCACTTTCATTTTCTTGTAAACGTTCAACAGACCTTCCCCACCCTTTGTGCACGAGAATAGAAACACAATGTAGGATTTCATTGTCCGGTGGTGAAAAACTGAGAGAAGACCCAGTTGAACCTTTACAAAGTATCAAGTATGTCTTGTTTAAGAATATAGATCTTCTGGTGACAATAACATTAATATGGGTCATGTAGTATCAAAAAAATGAACCCAAAATGCAATTTACAGGCTGGGGACACTAAAATCAAGTAGGTGTGGAAATTTAAATGTCTGGTAAGTCTTCTGACAGAAGACAGTAAGTGTGACACTGAGATCCGAAGATGTATTGGGATGGCCAAAGACGCATTCCAAAAGCTAGGCAGAGTCATACAAGACAGGAGGATTTCATTGGTAACAAAGAAAAGAGTACTGAACTGCTACAGGATATCTGTCCTTTATGGCAGTGAATGTTGGACGGTCTCCTCAAAGATGAAGAGACTTGAGGTAGCATAGCCATGGTTCTACAAAAGCATGCTAAGGATACCATGAACTGAACATGTGAGAAATGATGAGGTTTTGGAGAGGATACAAAGAGGAAACTTATACTTAACATCAGGAAGAGGTGGCTGAAATTTCTCAGACACATAATGAGAAAGGAGGGCTTGGAAAATCTGATACTCACAGGGTTGATAGAAGGAAAGAGGGACAAGGGGAAGCAACATGTGACCTACTTAGCAGGCTTAAATAAGTGGATGGCAGAACAGGGTATGGGAGAAGTAGAATTTTATTGAGAACTATGAGGGATAGGAGGAAGTGGAGAGCCATAATCACCTACATCCTGAAGGGACATGGCACATAAAAGAAGTAGTAATGTTATTATATCAAAAAATAGTAATATCAACTTTGGTTCACCTTTTTCCAATATGATCAAGTGTTAATATTTTTATTTTTTAAGGTTTATTACATCTTATTGATTAAATAAATAGTCTTTCTAATGATATTCTAGTGAATGTTTGATCTTGGAGATTTATGTGTGTATTATTTGATATTTATTACACCACAAGCAGGCGGTTTTCTACTGGCCTAACCCTAACCAAATGAGCCACTGGTCAGATCTGATGATATCTCCCCTTCATAAGCTTTTAGCTGATTAACTATTACTGTCTAATCCACTGTTGTTTTAACCTGAAAGAGAATGGGTCACGTTTTCTCTGGATATCGGTTCTCAAATATCAAGTTCAGAGCACAGCTTATTTCTCACTTGAGCATTAGTCTTGCGGTTTGTATCAGAATATTGGCAATTTATTTTTGTTTTTTAATCATTGTAATCATTTACTGTTATACAGAGGTACACATAAGCTCACAAGTTTACCTATACTGATTAGTTACTAGTATCTCTATCTATAAAAGGCAGGATGTGTGTGTGTGTGTGTGTGTGTGTGTAACAAATTCACGGCCGCAATTTTTGACGGATTTGCAACAAAATTTACATGTACATGCTCCAAGTTAGCAGGAAGGCCAAGACGGACTTCATTTCCCAACTCCCATCAATAGTGGAAAGAATCGATTTTTTTTTCATGCTTCCACGCCAGTTTTCATGTAGTTTGCAGCCATTTTGTACTGGCCAGAGTGAGAGCCTATAGCTGGCTGCCACGAATAGGCAGGAAGATTCTATTGGTCAGCGTGAGAGCCAACAGCTGACTGACATGAATGTTAACTAGCATGCTAGCATGCAAAAAATATCGATAACTGCATTCGTCACAAGTGGGAAAAATTTAAATCTGCATGGCACTTTACTCCAATTGACTCATTCGCTTGCTTAAACTCAACGTTGATTCTGATTCTGCAGAACTGGGTTGGGTGTGAAAAAGTATTTGTTGTTAACATTCTCTTTTCATTCAGTTTTTCCAGTTAAGAGTCCTTTTTTAAAGCTGATCGTTTTGTATTCATTTTGTTTTAGTTCTTTTTTTGTAACAGATTTAATGCTTAGTATAAAGCTTAGAAAAAATTTGCAGTGTGAGATAGGCAAGAAGTAAGGCATGTAGCAACATCAGCACGGCAAAGGGCACTCCTTTAAAGGCAAGGAAGGGCAAAAATATTTTAAGTCAAGTGATAGCGATTGCTGTATGAGTCGTACGATTTTTGAATCAAGCACGGGCAACGCCAGGCCATGCTGCTAGTACCAAGATATATAATGGCCAGTTACTCTCCTTTTTCCAAGCACACCTATCTACTAGGGCAGCTAACCAATTTCTGTTGCAGACACCTGCTCAGGCATATTTGTTTTTGTTCAACTCCCACAGAGCTTTATGCTGTAATCATGATGCGTGAACTGTAGTTAGTTTCTGGGAGAGGGAGTGCATAATTTTTTCATAATTAGCAGTTTGAATAACACCAGTTCACTCCAACTTACAGTTACAATGATTTGTGACTTAGTGCTAGTAGAATCATTGAAGGTTTCCAAACAGTTCCACCTACTCAATTTCATTGATAAGGCTTGAAGGCTTGGGTCAACCTGGTTTTCAAGCACTTTACAAAAGTGCCACATGCTGGAATATATATATATATATATATATATATGTTTCACGCATGACACAATCTTCAGGTTCATTGCATCATACATGAAACTCAATCATGCTAGAGGTGTGAGATAGTATGTATATTCGTTTTTATATATATATATATAGGGACAGCCCAAGTCATTACCAGAGTTTCACACAAATGGTGTGCACGTGAAACTTGAGTAATGACATAGACTGTCCTTTGTTAGGAGTTGACGTCATGAAGTGTTTTTTGCTCTGTCTAGGTAATCTGGGCGTTAAGGCATTTGCCTTTTTGGTCTTTCATTCTTTGTTCTTTCTGTGTTTGGGATTTTTTTTTTCCTGGCCTGAGGTGTTAGGTCCTCTACAAAGTTGTCTGTTGGTCACACCAACATAGTTTTTCTTTATATAGTAAAGGTAAAAGAAATCTGGGGATATATAATCAGTGGATCTTAGCAATATAAAAATATTAAAACTGATCCACAAAAGAGAGCTTCATTTATTTTATTTATACAAAGCAATATTAATGAATAATCCAAAAAATCTTTTTGCCTTATGTGGGGAACAGACTATTTCAGCAGCTGATGAAAGTGGTTGTCTGTCTTTGTATGGGTATTCCACATCAGGGTTGAAAAGACAGATGACCACTTTCATAGTCTTCCAAAATAGTCTGTTCCCCACATGAAGTAAAAAGATATATATTGTCATCCACAGACTGTTTCACTGTATCACAGCTCATCAGTGTGGCTAGACATTCGATTGCCTCAAGCCAGGATCAAAACATTGATTTGGCATCAGTCAGAGATTTTCCCCCTCAACTATCGCCTCTCAGCAGAGAGAAATGTGAATTTTTACATATTTATTTTGAATAAACATGCCAGTGACTCAAAGTGCTCGATTTATAGAAGAGCGTTGCATTATCAGCAGTAGCAGTCACTGTTTACAAATTCGCACTTTCTCTCTAAAGTGCTCAACTGAAAATTGTATTTTCAGGTGTGTGTGTGTGTGTGTGTATATATATATATATATATATATATACACACATACACACACACTTTAAAATAATATAAAGTAACTAATCGCCACATTTATATTATAACTATAAATATTTTTGGTAATATTTACTGAGTTTCTCTTGTTAATGGTAACTTTTTATATGGAACATAATTGTGTAAACATGTAATGCTTGTCCAAGCTTTCTACTGACTGGCAAATAATTACTTCATGTTGCATTTCAATTCTTGATCTTTTTGCTGTGCACTGAGAGCTGGGAAAGGGCATGCTGCACGCTCACTAAATAATACTGTGAAAAATCAATGCCACATCGAGGGA